CATACGATTTTCAAATGGAACTGCTTTCCATGGCATCTCTTTGTAATATTCATTGAATGATTCTTGATCTTGATCACTGGAAAGAAAAACGATATCAAATGGAAGATTAGCAGCAACAGATTCTTTATAAATTTCGGCTAATTGTGGAGTGTAATGACGACATGGTGGACACCAATGAGCAGAAAAATATAAACCCAGATATTTGTCTTTTAATGAATCTAACATAATTTTTCGATCATTTTGATCTAGCAGTTCTACCTTATTTCCTCCAAATAATTCTGACCAACTATATTTTTCTTTGGGTATCAAATATCTCACTAATTCATGTTCATGTAAATTTTTTCTCTTTACATTGTTGACATGAATTATAATTATTGCAATGTGCATTCATACAACCATAACGAACACCAATGATTGGTTTCATGTCACAATTATCACAACTAATGTAATTCCATGTATGTTCACCTTCTTTAGCTTCACGTGACCAATAGATAGATTGACCTTTTGACCATTTGAGAATAGCGTCTTTGCCTTTTTTTCTTAATTCTTGATCACCATCTTCGGTTAGAATGCTCCCATCTGGTTTCAAGATGATTAACGAAGGAATACCTTGAATGTCATATTTCTCATTCAATTTATCAGCTAAAGTACGATCTAAAAGTAATAAAGAAAATAAATAGAACGACAATTATTCAAATATAATAAGAAAATGAGTAAAAAGATATTTCAACGATACATTCTCCTCTCACTGGTCTTTTGCCCAAAAAAATGGCGTGTTTAATGTCGATTCATTCAAGTTTTGAATAGCGCTGCTACATTACTATTACTAGTAATAAGTAATAACGCTTTTGTTATTACTTATTACTTGGTAATAAAATAAATTTCAAAAGTAATAAAAGTAATAAATGATAAGATAATAACTGTTATTACTTATTACCAAGTAATAAGTATTAACTACAAAAAGTAATAAAAAGTAATAAGAAAATAAAAAGACGACAGAAAATATTTTTAATCATCAATTGGATTTCGATTCTCACATTGAGACATTAACACAATATCGAAACTTATTTTGGCATCTTGAGTTATTTTTCAATGTTTATGCGAGAGTGATTGGACGGCTATGGTCTCTCGAC